GGGCTTATGGGCTGGAATAGCAACCCATTGCTAACAATTTCATAGCAGGTAAATTTTTTTTCTTCTTTATTCACAAAAACTTTAAAGTTGTAAGTTTTGCTGCCTTAAGTAAAACCTGTATCCTTTTTTGAAATCGTTAGAATGTAGTTTAAAACTTTAGGTTTGGATATTTGGGAAACTTTACAATTCTTTGAAGAATCAGTGAAAAAGATATAGGAGTTACAAAAATAACAAAGTACCTCTTCGCACACGGCTTCTTTTAAGGGTTCAGTAAAATAATATTTGGGAGTATTGATTTTAAAAAGCCACAACTCTTAATATATGATGTATTTTTTTTATTCTAAAATTTATAAATTTTCGTCTTTCAACAGAGGAACTTGCAAAAAAAATCACCGGACTACATGAAAAATGTTTTCTACTTTGCTGTTGCCGGGTTCGTGGCGGCCCGGGAAATTCTCGCCGTTGTAGGGGTTATACAAACTATCAATTTGTATTAAGGTAACATCTTTTGTATCCCAAAGTTTCTTCCAACTAATATTTAACTAATGCTTAGCATTGTACTTAACATAATTTAGGATTGTAATTTGAAAGGGGCTTAAATGAAACGTAAAACAACATCTTTGGTCTTATCTAGATTTTGGGTACGGGTTTCTTTAAGTCATTTAATTTTTAGTTATGGTCCAAAATTGAAAGGATTTGGGTGTTGAAAGCTATTTTAACGATGAAGAATTTTTTTTCCCCATTCTAAACTAAGTATTCATTACATCTGAGAATCTGCAAATTTCTTATTCTGTTTTAACGTCAAACTTTTTAAGTGTTGCCTAGTTTCCGCTCGTACCAAAGTTTTTTTTTATAGCAAATGCAGCGCAATGAATACTAAAGACGCAATGAATACTAAAGAGGGTATTTCGTGATATCGGGTCAATATTATTCAACACATACTTTCTTCATTATTCATAAACATGACGAATATATAAGAATACAGTACAATACTCTTTATTGTTAAGTCGGGTAACAAACATGGTGACAACATGACAATTTATCTAAGATATTACCAAAATTAACATAATTCAGATCTTTGTCTTGATCGGATTGTTTCGGTTAAATACGTTAAAATATATTAAACAGTATCTTTATTTCAATTTCAGTTCAATGATCGCAACATGGAGCGTGACTACCAGCCAGGACCGGTACCAATGGAGGTTGTAGAGAAGGTCCCTCGTGGACGGAGGAGAAGGAGGGACGACTCACCGCCGAGATTTTACCATGGCTACCAATATAGATAAACAAACTTAGTTAAATACAACACAGATTCTATGCTAGAAATCTATCATTTAAATCAAACACACAAGGTTTTAAAATAGCTGCCAAGTCAGTGATAAAATCATCATAATATACCATTACAATTGCGTAATCGTTGATCATTAATGGTGTTAGTAAACTTTACACAGTGAATAAGTTTAAGGGTGAACTATTTAAGGATAATGTTAACGAAAGGGAAATAATTGTTACAAATTCTATATTTTATTTTAAGAAAACTTGAATATCAAGAAGTCAATTCTGAACATAATAATTTACAACAATTTAAAAAAAGGAAACAATAGTCTATATTGCTTAAATGAGCCGCGTCATGACAAAACCAACATAATGGGTTTGCGACCAGCATGGATCCAGACCAGCCTGCGCGTCGGCGCAGTCTGATTAGGATCCATGTTGTTCGCTATCAGTTTCTCTACTTGTTATAGGATTAGTAAGCCAACAGCATGGATCCTGATCAGACTGCGCGGATGCTCAGGCTGGTCTGGATCCATGCTGGTCGCAAACCCATTATGTTGGTTTTGTCGTGACGCGGCTTAAATAGTCATGCTGGTTGCTGTTGGCCTTTCTCTGGTTCTTTGAACTTTAGGGGATCTTTATAATCTGTAAACCTTGTAGTTGACTTTATTCATGTTCATTACTCTTCAATTTTGTAAACATTTAATAATTTAAAGATATATCCATTTGTATATACCTTCTTATTATAGACTATTTTACATATTTATTCTTGTGAAGACCAAAATTATTTTGTGACTAATGTACTAAAATATGACATTTACTATAGAACATAGTAACATCTTGTTTTGTTAAGTAGATTCATTTTTAGTGAATAAACGATAATGAGGTTTTCTTTAACATACAGAATCGCAGTTAACAGTGTCATAAAGCGATTCTTATCCGAACACTTCATTTAGAGTATGAAATATATTGTGTACATTTGATTTTCGTTTGCATATACAAAATATGACGGTTATAGTTTCACATATTTTATGGACGGAACCAATCTGATTAAAATCCGCTACTAATTAACGATACATGCAAGAACTAATTTAAGTAGATCTGAACTTAAGTCAGATTGGAATTTATACATATTCTTAAGTTTATAATGTTACAATGTTTTAAAAAATGATTTGAACATCAACATCAATACATTTAAATTGATGAGTTGATTTACATTAGATCATAGAGATGACATATTACCCCCATTCCTCATTTTGTACATCTTAACATTATTTTCACTTACATAATAAATATATGATATGTAAACATTACTTGTTGTGATTGTTATATGAGCCGCGTCACGACAAAACCAACATAATGGGTTTGCGACCAGCATGGATCCAGACCAGCCTGTGCATCCGCGCAGTCTGACCAGGGTCCATGCTGTTCCCTTACCAACCCTATTACAAATAGAGAAACTGATAGCGAACAGCATGGATCCTGATCAGACTGCGCGGATGCGCAGGCTGGTCTGGATCCATGCTGGTCGCAAACGCATTATGTTGGTTTTGTCGTGACGCGGCTCATATACAGTGTCTACATTAGATGTCCCATCTCCCCATAATTGTTATCAATATCGTGCTGAAGGAAGATAAGCAGTTCTATTCATATGTCTGAAATCTCAATAAACGACATCGTTCCTTGGTTCTTGATAGTGCTGTCACGCCACATATAGCACCAACCAAATAAAGCTCTCCATGAGATGTGTCTGTTTGCGTTTTAACGGATATAACTTTCCTGGAGCTGTTTTCATTATCAACGATTAAAGATTCTATATGTTATAATTGAAAATGTTAAAAACACTTAAGTGAAATTTTATATGTGTATATAATTATTCTTTTAAAACTATTTTCAAACATCCAATAATATGTATTGCAGATGTTTAAAACGCATTATATGCAATCATTAAAATATATGCATTCATTTCTTATTGAAAAATTTGGCTTAGACTTTTTAGAAAATAAATTTCTAATAACCTCCCTTTATTTACATGAAATGTAAATTCCGTAATATTTTTATTAATAATGCTTTTTGGAACTTACAATATTGATAAATCTTCATTTGAGCATCATATTTATTATCTAAAACCATGAAGAATTGAGTAACAGGATCTTTAAGCTCTACAATATTTTAAAATGTTAAGCTTTTATTCGTCAACAACTCGAACCAGTTTCTGGAGTAATAAATCTCTTTTGACAAAAAAGAAGACTGCACTCGTTTAGTGTGTACCGCACGTATTTCACAACAACGTCTGTTTCTAAGAAAATTTTGGCTGAAAACATACAGTATTTTGGATAACTGTTATCTCTTTTGTCAATGCCCAATGTGGTTGATTAACCTTTCTTAAATGAGCTTTTAAGCTTCCATTTTTGGACATGTTCATTATCAATTTTGGGGGATATCAAGATCAAAATTTAAAGTTTATCAGCCACCAGTATAGAGCCTGGACAGACTGCACGGCTGTACAGGCTGGCCTGGCTCTGTACTGGTGGCAAAGGCTGATCACATCCGGTTCCAGCAGGGTAAGGGTTACATTTTCACAAAATTAGAAAACCTTTGATCAGAGAGCTTTTCAATACATGAACCCTTTTGGATTTTGGTTGTAATGAATTTTGGTTGTTCACACTGAACACTCACTGACCACTCGGTCAATGTTCATGAAATACTGTTTACTCACATATTAAGTTGAAACAATCGTCACTGATTAATATCTTACTTCCTGTTTTGCATAGTAACAGTTCTTTCATTTTTCTGGACAGCAATTATTCATGTTTGCTGATTTAAGACTCTCAAAGACTATGAACTGATTTTGTAGGTTTTTTTGTTTTGACAAAAATCTCCTATAGACTAACATCTTCGGACGCTTGCGTACTTTTACTATTACAACTAATTATTTGGCAACATTATTAACTGCATCATCATTAGTGCCTAGATTTTTTCATTATATGTAACATCGTTATCTTCGGCAACAAAATAATGGTCTTCAATACTAATATTAACATTGTTGTCGTTACCATTGGTATCAACATTAATACTATCATCACCAATGTCCACATAATTACAATTATGGTTTATTGCTTAACCTTTCTTTGTTATCATCGACAATGTCGTAGTAATAATTCATTATTAAAGTAGGACTCCGGCCCATTATGTGTTTAACATGTTTTGCTGAAACAAAAGGTCCTGCATACCAATCTTATAAAGTAAAGATGCCATGAAGTATATCGAGATGATATAACGTGTGACATTCATAACAAAGCAAACTATACTGGTAAACATTTATTTCATGCTTAAACTTTATCATTCAGCTACGAAAAACTTTATCCCTTAAAATGGGTCACCTTGACGAATTATACGGGAGCTTTATTCGTTTCAATTGTATATGCTGTTAATAGTAAAGTGTCATCGTACCCGGAGAGGGGATATACATGTAAATACATTGTAAAGTAGCGTTCGTATTCCCTCAGTCTGATTAAAATCAGCACCTTTTTAACGCTGCATGCAAGAAATAACTTAAGTAGATCTGAACTTTAGTCAGATTGATATCCCCAAACGATATGGATCACTTTTTTTCTTTTTGGAAACTCCACCATATAACAATTGCAGTCACTTTTCACATATCTTTTATGATACAGATATCATTTTTATTGACAAGACATGACATATTTAAATTTCTTATTGTGTGCTTACAATTCTAAAATTTTAAATGATACAATGTACAGTATTGTCGTTTCAGAAGCACCATTAAGGTATACACAAACATAAAATACATTAAATTTGAAAATCTTACGTACATCAACTGGAGCACTTAAAACGGAAAAAAATATATTAAAACGATAATAATAAAATATACTGAAAATTAAATTGAAAATTGATAATAAGTGCGATTCTTGGTCCTTGTTTAAGTAAAAAGCGTTACAACGCTTTACATTTTTAAGTCATTTTGCACAACAAAAATGATTATTCTGGAAAAAACAAAGAGCGAATGATATGAAATTTTGCACACAAGTGATAGTATAGATCACACAAGTGTTAGTAAAGATTTTCATTAAATGATAAGAAAAAAAATTCCGGTCCCGTCATGTAAAAAAATACCCAGTGAAGTCCCTATAAAACTGTTGATTACATTTCCTATATATCAGTGTATATTGTATTTACGACAGTACCCGACATGTTTATTAAACGACACATAATCACATATAATGCCGTGTTCCTTCTTAAAGTAAATAAAATACGCTGATGCTGTAAATCGTTGTGAATAAAATAAGTACTGTATATAAAACGTTTTCCTGAAATGAACTTTAAGCATAAACGGTATTTATGATAATATCAAAATCCTTTATTTATGGTACATTAAACAGATGTTTTGGCTGCGACTTTTCAGAAAAATTCGTGTACACTTCCATCGTCTTTGCTGATACATCGAAAATTCCTGCAACATAACACCACATGTCGTTATCGATATATATAATATACATGTACTACAGAATATAATTATGTACATAAGAGAAGATGATCAAATACTTATGTTTTATAATAAAAGACCCTTTTTTCGTTTCAAAAACATCACAGCACACCAAATAGCTATTTTGAATGGCAAACAAGTCAAATCGGCTCCAAGTCAAATCGGCCCCAAGTCGAACCGACCCCAAAATTAGTCAAATCGGCCTAAAAGTAAGTCAAATCGACCTCAGTACATTTTTTAAAAGTTAAATCCTCCATAAAATTAGTCAAATTGACCCAAAAATTAGTCAAATCGGCCTCGAAACAAGTTAAATTGCCCCTAGAATTACTGTTGTGAAACATCCTGTTTTGGATTTAAAAAATTCGCTTGAACATAAACGTAGCAATCAAAAAATAAGTCATTATAAAATTAAAACAGCTTGATGCTAGTGATTATCGTTATCAATGTACGTAATTTTGCACGTGTGCTATGATTGATGCTTGATGTCTATTTTTAATTACAATTAAACCTCTTATATAAATGTCGGTCTGCGTTTAAAAGTGAATAAAAGTGAGTTTTAAACATGAATTGTGCTAACAATCAGTGTAACTTCAATTCTAACACGACCCACATTTTCCCCTATTGAACATACATCTGAATCTGCATTATTTCTGTTTGGAAAGTATCATGATACAAATATTTGGTGTTGAACGTGCTTCTTTTGACGTTACAATAAACAAAATTTCCTCTAACCTGTTGCTCCAGTAGCAAGATAGTCGGGATGTTTTCCGTTTCGATATACCGGAAATTTCTTGTCCTGACGATTTGATACGGCATCAAGCAAATCCCGCTTTGAGCGTGTTTGCCCTCTATTCACATATTGTGAAATAATCGCCGCACGATGAATTGAGCTCTCCTCCGGGTGACATTCAAGTTTTAGATGTTGAAACCTGTAGAAATTGAAATAAAGACAAATAAAACTGCTAAAGCTGTCAAATGAAAAAATTGTAAGACTTAATGGCGTAGATCTAACTATAATGTAGGAATTTAAATTAAAGTATGTAATGGAAGGCACATACATGTGCTCCTATAAATAAAAAAAAACAACATTATAATATTCAGCTAAAAAAAGAGACATACATGTTGCAATGATGATAATACTCGGGTGGTTTATATACGGCAACCATAGTACCATTCGAAGTCCCCGCGACCTCGATTACAGTATTGACTACGTCATTTCCGGTTTGTTGAACATAATGGAAGCAATACGCCGTTGAGATACCTAAACAGGAAGTGTATACTCTTTTATCATATATATAAATTAGAATAATGCAATTGTTTAAATAGAAGGCTCCAAATGTATCAGTTTGTAAGATATTATTAGAAGCAAATATAGATTTCAGTTATAAATAGATCTTTCGTTGAGGTTCTCAGCCATTTCCGTCAAACTTAGGATAAGGACCTATAAACTATTCTTAACTTATGGTTAAGCATCTAGATTATAGAAAATGGTTGAAGAAGTTCTTGAATACTGACAAAATTTATTCTTTTGTCATCGATTTTTGCCCTGTGCAGAATGCGCATGCGCAGAATGCTACTTCCGTTTCTATGGAAATTCGTTAAACAAATAATACGTAAATGATGGGATGTGTTCATCACATTGGGTTATAGTCGATTTAACTCAAGTATATATATATATAGATATATATGTAAAAACTACATTATCTATTTTCTAATCCGTATGTGTTTTAAAAACAGAGAGTTCAAAAGGTATACCTTTTGACAATTTTCGGATTTGGTTATCGTATGCCAGTGTGTATTTCAAAATTTCGTCTGTTGTCGGACATATTTTCATTCATAATATTACCGAATTATACTTTGTTTTCGACAAATGTCAAATTAATACATTCGTTTCTTATTACAAAAATATTACACCTTCTGTTTTTGTTTGCATCAATGGCCAGATTGTAGAACTATTCTTAACTCCGAGATGATTATTAAACCTCGGCGAGGTGTTCCGAATGTTGTTGAAAATTAAGCTTGATGTATTGTGTAGAAAAAGAGAAAATTACGGAACAAACCTGGTTTCCGTTGTAATATTTGTACAGCTTGTGAGGGATCTTGAATATCCATTAATGATCGACACATGAACCTTCTAGCTGCAATAAAAAAAGTTTAATTCAGTATAATATAAAAGTATCATCCGAGAACATTTCAAGACTCCCTATTGTTTAACCTTTTGCTTTTTATTATCTTGTAAGTATATACTAGGATTTGTTCATCATATGCGCATATAGTTCAGTTGATTAGAATGTCTCGAAAAATAGCCAAGTGCTAACATTTTCCGTTTGATGAGAGAGGATCGGGTCGATCTTGAACCTGCTTTATATTTGGTGATTATTTTAAACATTACTGATACACATTCTTTTCTTTTTAATTGTCTTTTGATTGTTTTCTGTTTTTCATTTCTTATTTAAATAATCAAGCTTATTTCGATATATAACATCAATACGAAATCAACCATTCGATTATTTTAGCCGTGACAATGCAGCTGCCACACTGCCACATATGTATAGATTTACCATCATTCCAAATTTCAAAACAGAAAAAGTAGACAGACATCGTAGTATGGAATTAAAAAATGGAACTTGTTAGGCTCGAACCACATACCTAAAATTGCGTCTTACCAGTGAGCTTTATTGTCTTGTTATTTATTATTTAGAGTAAATGTTCCCCCAAGTCACTTTCATTATATTGTTACATTACATAAATGTATCATTCACCAAGAAATCTACTATATTGATACATTTTAACTTTAAATAGTAGATCATCATAAAATAAAAACAACATCCAAAAATATTGTACGATTACTACTCCATTTTATGAAGTCACGTTGACTGAAGACACATTTGAGCCGCGTCACGACAAAACCAACATAATGGGTTTGCGACCAGCATGGATCCAGACCAGCCTGCGCATCCGCGCAGTCTGATCAGGATCCATGCTGTTCGCTATCAGTTTCTCTACTTGTAATAGAGTTGGTAAGCGAACAGCATGGATCCTGATCAGACTGCGCGGATGCGCAGGCTGGTCTGGATCCATGCTGGTCGCAAATCCATTATGTTGGTTTTGTCGTGACGCGGCTCATTTTAATCGTACACACAGCAGAAGTCTTACTTTTTTAAATACTTAAAAAGCAATGAATTTCCGTGTACTTAATTTGGTAGTTAGTTTGTGAATGTACATCTATACAGTAGGGACTTACTCTTTGAATACTTAAAAAGCAATGAATTTCCGTGTATTAGATTTGGTAGATAGTTTGCCTTGTACATCTATACAGTAGAAGACTTAACTTTTTAAATACTTAAAAAGCAATGCATTTCCGTGTACTTAATTTGATAGTTAGTTTGTGAATGTACATCTTTTACAATATCAAAAGTAATTACGGATCCCATTCTTGTTGAGTCCCTTCTGATAAATGTTGTTAGCGCCCACCATAACACCGTATCTATTGAAATGAAACTTGCCTCCACTTATAACTCCTGCAAAAACAAATTTTACATATAATATAAACAAATAATGATATTGAAAGTTACCAAACTTTTCTTGTATCCGAATATTTGAGCAAAAATCAAACAAAATTCAATAAAACTACTTAACATTCATATATTTTTGAAATTTTCTACTCTTTTAGAACAGCCACAATAGCTTTGCTTGGCGGGTAGTTAATACAATTATAACATACATACTCGTATGTATAATGTAATATAATGTAATAAAAATGTGGCTTACTTACGCCATGATGTTTTTTCGACACAAAATCCGAAATTATGTAAACATTATGATAGAAGAAAGTCTGACTGTCGTATCTTTCATATTTAAGAATTTTCTTGCCGAAAATATGAGAAAACTGCATATCCTAAAAAAAAGCTACAAAATAAACCACTATGTAATACTAAAATAGCAATAAAAAGAATGTAACAAACCAGGTATATAGTAATCTGTCCAGTTTTCTAGAATACTTCCATTTTCTCCTTTTATTTCAACTGTCAACATTATTCCAAGATCTTTAGCTATGGGAACAATGTCTTCTGTATGAGCCAAATATACCTTCAATATATTATGTACAGGTGTTACTGAAATAAAAACTGACACGACACAGTTGCTCAATACTCGACATTATAAAATATTAGTGTTTTTCCTCCGTTTTTATCAATTGATAAGGCCTAAATTAAAAATTTTCTGACTGTCTACTTTATCATAAACTGTTTATCTGACCAGTCATACAATATATTTAAACGGATTTTTTCCCTTCTTAAAATCGTCTTACTATGACATAGATCTTAATTAGACTAGTGTGCTGCTCGAAGTACTTAATAAGATTTACGTGAACAATGTCCATTCCATTACCTGGTATAGGCCATTTTAGGATATTACTTCGGCAATACATAAAAGAAATGAGCCGCGTCACGACAAAACCAACATAATGGGTTTGCGACCAGCATGGATCCAGACCAGCCTGTGCATCCGCGCAGTCTGACCAGGACCCATGCTGTTCGCTATCAGTTTCTCTACTTGTTATACGGTTTGTAAGCGAACAGCATGGATCCTGATCAGACTGCGCAGATGCGCAGGCTGGTCTGAATCCATGCTGGTCGCAAACGCATTATGTTGGTTTTGTCGTGACGCGGCTCAAATAATGTATACATAGGAAGGAGATATTAATTTCAATACAATACATATCTCACCTTGTTTTCATCTGTTGTTATAGAAATGTTTGTACATCCATCATAAAAGGAAGCATACTGTACACCATGACTGCCATCAGGAATGTCTCCAAATATAGCCGCAAATTCGCACTCACAATTTAGTAGAAAAAGCTTGTAAAAATGAAAGAATGCAATAGTTTTACCTTTTTTAGCAATAGATATTCATTATTTCAAATAATGAGGACAAGACAACGCGTTCTTGACTAATTGATAATTAAGAGCATTCATACAAATAGAATCACGATTATTTATTCAAATAAAGCAGTGCAGTGAAAACCAAAATAAATAGGTAGAATAGGTTTTATCGAGTCTGTTTATAAGGGATAATGAAAAGTGTAACACATCTGCCGTCACTATTGCACTGGCAGAAGCAGTATTCAACCCTCAAAACTAATAGTATAAATTTTACAGCTACTACACCAGCATACCTGTTGCTGGGAGTATAAAAACATTCTGGAATAAGAGGGCCATGATGGCCCTGAAATCGCCCACCTGTATATAGGCCCCGTGACAGGGCCAATTTTAACCCAGGGGCTTTTAATTGAACAAACTTGGCAGACACACATAAGAAGCTGTTTCATGATAAATATCTAAGCTCAAGCTCTTTGGGATTTTTAAAAGAATTTTTTTTAATTGTTTACTATACACAGATAGGGAAAAACAATGACCCTCGGGCGGGGCCAATTTTGACCCATGGACTTTTATTTGAACAAACTTGGTAGATACTCACTAGAAGATAGTTCATGCTTAGTATCTTAACTCTAGCTCTTTGGGCTTTTTGAAAGTTTTTATTATACGCATATAAGGAAAATCAATGACCCCCGGGGCGGGCCAATTTTGTCCACAGGGTTTTTATTTGAACAAACTTGGTAGACACTGACAAGATGATGTTTCATGCCAAACATTTTAGCTCTTTCGGTTTTTAAATGAAGATATTTTAAGTTTTTTTGGTTGCCATGGCAACCAGAGTTCTGCATGGAATTAAATTCTTTGAACAATTTTTAAAGTTGACTACCAAAGGAACATTCCTGTGAAGTTACAATGAAATTGGCTCTGGGGTTTATGAGATTAAAAGTAAAAGTTTACGGACGGACGCCGGAGAAAAGCGATCACAAAAGCTCACCATGTCACTTTACGACAGGTGAGCTAAAAATGGTAGGATCCCTCGATAGGAACATTGCAGACTAAGTTTGACTACTGATATATAATGCAAAGTGCCGCTTCTCCACCTAGAGATAAAGTACTTGACAACTGCTGACGTGGCAAATGTTGACTACTGACTGATAAAGTTGCTGATTTAAAGGCACATTATGGCTCAGAAATTCGTATTTTTGCAATTATTTTGAAATACCAAGCATGTATTTGATAATGTTTTAATAATGGATTAAGAGCACGTTAGATATGCAACAACTGAAAGAAGTAAAGCTGGACATGAGGTGATGTTTTGTAAAGTTAGCAACATGTAAACAAAGTAGTATTTTGATTTCCATACAAAATACTAATGCACTAAATATACCATTTGGAAACAGAGAAAAAATATGCAATACAGTAGATAAGTTTATGTATTATAGCAAATGAGTATTTTTTGGAAACAGTGACAAGATAAAAAAGAAAATAGAAAATAAATAAATAAAGAGAAATAAAAAGATAGTATTTTTAAGACTTAGCGGGCCTTTAGAGTGGTTTCAACAGTTTAATGCACATCATGTCTCAGAATTGTTTTTCTATAGAAAGGGCAAACATGACTTTTATAACATATGAGTGATGATTTAAAACCATATTAGATTCTTAGCAATTGAATGAAATAGCGCTTAATGTGAAATTATTTGTCATAAAAGTAGCAAAATGGAAACAAAGTAAAGATACAAAATACCAATTTACAAAATCACTGTAACTATACTAATTGCAAATAAAGCAACATACGCAAAAGAAGATGCAGGTTATTGGTCAATGAGTAACTTTTTGGAAACTACAACATGACAGTCACAAAGAATAAAAGATTTGTTTGAGAAATAAGATATTACAAGCATTTCCAGGGCACGGTGGGCCTTTAAAATATTGCGCATTTAAAAACCCCATAGTTTTCTGATTTCAGAGAAAAACATTAACATAAGGTATATTTTCAATTATTTCTTCTTACATCGTTATAGTCAACTCCAGCACCATTCGCCACTCCCTTCAATTCCTCTAGATAATCTCTACAGTACGTCAATACAGTTTCCTTGAATAACTTCAGCACCTGTGCGCCCTCTGGTGTATTTGTGTATTCATCTATTTTCTTAAATAGTTCAGAACTTTTGAAGTCGTTGAGAATTTTCTTTACGGATGATTCTGTTTTCTTCCCCTGTAATCATTTCCAGTCATTTAAATTTAAAACAACACTGACACAATCGATAATGATATATAAATACTTGCTCTTTAATAACATTAAAAGTTATTTTTCCGTTACTGATATGGGAAACTAACTTTTTTTTAAACTTAAGCGGTTGCAAATCTTATAAAGAAATTCGAAATTTAAGTTACATTTTTGGTTAACTTTTTTCAAATTTTATGTTGTTATATATATTTTGTATGTCAATCAATCAATCAATCAATCAATCAATCAATCAATCAATCAATCAATCAATCAATCAATCAATCAATCAATCAATCAATCAATCAATCAATCAATCAATCAATCAATCAATCAATCAATCAATCAATCAATCAATCAAATCAAATCAATCTTTACTGATGTTCTTTAATTTTCAAGAATTTCTCTGTTATAGCTCGTTATAACAACTAGTATAGGTATGTTTTCATCATCAACAAATGTATTATTTCAGAAAATCATACGTATTATGGGAGAAATCAAAATAATGATGTTTTATGAATCAAAGTTGTCAAGAATTAAAACAAAAATATACATATAAAAGAAACGTATGACCTAAGTGGGATTTTCATTCGGCGTTCCCTTTCACCATCTTCACCATCATCATCAACAACAACAACATCATCATCACAGTCATAATAATCATCATCATCATCATCATCACCACCATCAAAGTCATAGTAATAAACACTTCCATCGTCATCACTTCGTCATCTTTTAATTCATCATCACCTCTTCATAATTATCACCTCTTCCACCACCATCATCATCATCATCATCATCATCATCAATAATTAATAATGTTGATGATGTAATGACGATGATTACGATGATTTGCTGATAACGATTATTATGATCATCGTATCAATGATGAAAATGACGAAGACTGTGATGATGATGATTATTATTGTTTTGATTCTTTACTGGTGATAATGATGATGACTTGATGGTAATGTTCTGTAAATGATGATGATGATGATGGTGATGATGATGATGATGTACTAATGATAATGATGATGATAATTATGTTCTAGTGATGATAGATATGCAGACGCATTAATGATGCTGCATCTTATGATGGTATACTGTTATTGATGATAATAATGATAATAATGTAATGGTGATGAAAATGATGATGATGTACTGATATTTATGATCATGTTGATGATTATGTACTGATAATAATGTTGATGTATACTGATTATGATGTTGATGATGATCATAATGATAATAATAATGATGATGATGATGATGATGATGATCTTGTAATGTAGATAATGTTGATGATGACGTTTATGATGTGCTGATGATTACCCCCTGTTGTTGGGAGCTATATTCGTTGCAACTGTCGAATAGAGTTCCCCGGAGAGCTATATACGTTGAGAAACATAATTATGCAATACGCAATATATGTATGTTCATATGAATGGTTTAGTGACATCGATTTGGTCTTAATATGCCTGTTTAAACAGTTAAGGGTCACGATCAATTTTCTTTTGACAATTCTAAACTTGCGAAATAAAGATAGAAAAATTCGTGTGAAGGCGATGTTAGAATAAAATAAACATAAGATAAACATGGGTGGCAGCGTATCAATAACATACTCGTATAATGAAATAGACAGTTCATAATTTTTATCGAAAAAAAGGTGTACATCAATTTTATAGCATGAGGTATATATAAAATCAAAAAAGTAATACAACTGCACTTATTTTATCATATAAAAGGGTGCCATTAATTTCATTTCTATAATGAAAAAGTTCTTCTTGGTCGAGCAACTAGGTTAGAAATAACATATAACATGTGGCAATTAGGATCTTTATTTAAGCCCGTACCTAAAGTGTACGGAGATATTCATCTTTAAAAATGAATGATTTTTTTGAAGAAAAAATCTACCAAAAACTGCTTGTAATGGTATATGCACGAACTCATTTTAAAAAGGTGTTACGGCACATTTATTCTGTTCACTATTCACGTGATTTAATTCAGACATTCTATGTAACAACACGACCGTAAGATTATGACAACATCATGTTTTTACTGTTTATACATATATTTTTAATATTTCATCGGATATACTTAATACTATTAGTGCATTATAAATGTCATTACAATCTTAGATTGGAGTAAAAGATTAAGATTATTAAAATGTATAACTTTAAGAACAATTATATATAGGTTTCGATGTTTCGCAGTGAATTTAAGAATTTAATGAAAATAAAAATATTATAAAAAGTTGCAAAGTACAATAACTAGTATTAAAAGTACAAAGGTTAATCACTCTAAAATTATGCAAAAGAAAGTATACTTCTTGGACAATGATTTTTTCCTGAATGAGATGTGTCAATCTTTTATATGATATGTTTAATACTTCTTCAGTTTTGCTTTGGACGAGATTTAAATAGGAAAAAAACAAAGGGCAATAAATCCAAAAGTGCGATTCTCGTTATTAAGATCAATCAAGCAGTACATTTTGAAATTTGTAGTATCATGTATGAGAAATACTGAAAATGTTCTGTAAGCAATGGTAAAATTAAATAATTCATGTAATAAAGCGCTAGCGGACATTTTTCTCTAAAAATGAAAGTAAATTAAAGACAAATGGCTGTGAAGAAATGAATTGGAGGAAACAAAGTCCAAACAATTGAATTATTTAGGTCTTATGATGGAAAGAAAAAATAAAGGGAAATGCCTGACAATTTTTTTTCTACCCGAGCTTATAAGTTTGTAATATAAAAAGTTCTTACCAGTTTTGTACCAACTTCGTAGTAACTCCCAACAATTGTGATATGATCTGCCATGTTAAATAATAAATGTTCGTAGAAAACAAGTCCACGGCCAACTTAAAGTGTATAATCCAAGAGCACTCAGTGTCGATTTATTGAACGCGTTCTTCACCTCGGATGTTTAAGTATCATATTTTAAATGCACACAATATTCCCAACAGCGTCACATATGTTCCTGCATACTAAGTACATAATATAATAAATATATAACATCATATAAAATAGGATAGCTTCAGATGAACATATCTCCCAAAGTGTTAGTCCAGCATTTATATATTGCTGTAAAATCAGTCATATACCAATCATATTCGTCTATAACTTCGGCAAAGTACGTTAGGTTTCGTGTCATTTAAAATAACACAGTTAACAAGAGCAACAATTGAAATTGTAAACTCTTCACTTTCGGAACCGATATTAGATGGTAGTAAAACTAATTACACTTAAATTATCTGCTTCATAAGGTATTACGTTATATAATACCGTTATACGCCAACTACCGTTTCGTCTTTGGACATGCTAAAAATATTACTGCAAATTCCGTATTATATGCGGAGCTGGAAATTCATATGGATCTTAAAATTAAGAAAAAATATAAGTGAATAACCGCTGATCCGGATGTACGCTTTAACACCATATGTGAAAGAGAAAATTTTTCAATTCTTAACCTTTTAAACATTCAAGCAAAAAGTGTTTTTTTTGTTTGTTATTTTTTTTTTAAATCAAAATGTTATTCGACCTTCCTGATTTTCCTTCTATATATACCCTGAAATAGTCTTTCTTATGTGGAATCTGGTGTTTCCAAAACATGCAATGTGTATGAAGAAAATGTCATTAAACGGACTGAAAATAGTTTTTACGAAATTTTACCAGCGAACAATGCTTAACATGCAAACAAACCCTTATTGAAATTGTATCTATATTTGGCTCCAAACGAAGGAATTGCCGGTCAAAATCTATTCGAGCTCCATATATGAGGTCATAAGAGGTCCATAGGTGCATGGTAACATAAAACATTAACATAATTATGGATGAATTTCATAACGCTATCTTTGTTTTATTCTTTTGTGTGTCAATCTGTAATTAAAGTTTATATCCGAAATAGACAGATTTTCCAAAGTTGAGTTTGAATAATATCATCCTTAAAGAAAGAGATAAAAGACATTCAGCATACTAAAGTATTGTGGGAAGTCCATGTTTATTTTGAACGTACATGTTCTATATCGTCACTTATGCCGACGTAGAGTTGATAACTTTTAAGATTATTTACAATTATTCCACACATAAGTACAATATTAGTTTTTGGCCAAAGAGTACTTTAATTTGTGCAAGGCAGACTGAAGGACAGCTAAATCTCCTTCCGCAGTGAACATGAATGTGTACTTCTTGCCCTTTTACCAGTCACGACCTTGATGTTATGCCATGCATATCATAAGCACATAGTCTAATGATGGTGATTATTTGTGCCATGTTATTTAAAATCTTCCATAAATTAAAATTAAAGTTATGAAGAACATATAACCTTGACCTTGGGGGTAGCAGCCTGGATGTTGAGCTCTGCAGATTGTGTCATGAGCGGACACGAAAGTGTTACCGACGGACAGACGAACGGACGGACAGAAGGACGGATTGATAGACGGAGGCCATTCCTATAATCCCATTTCCGCTACGCGGAAGGGGATTAAAAATATTCAATAAATATCATACAAAAAATGAAAACACAATATCGACTAGAATAACACGTTACTTTTTTCAGCTCACCAATGTCAATATAAACCACTACGAATAAAAGTATATCTTATCGATACGTTGGTATATGATTATAAACACTTATAGTTATGGAACAATTATATCAACATCATAAATAGGTTGAAGTTCATGATTCTTTACTTACCATTTTCATAACAATATTGATTTTATTTTCGTTTTTCACACGAGAGAAGATTATTTCCTTCGTGGAGTCTTGAATTAATAAATACATATGAATTTTAATAATGCTATGGGTACGATAGTTTTAACTTTCATTTGCCAGCCGTTTAATAATATTACAGTTTGGCTGTCCAAGTTAAGTTTCCTCAGAGGAAAGTTATTTATTATAAAAATTATTTATACGAGTGGTACTCGCTCTGCGGCAATATCTTTATATACTCGGAATTTTAAGTATTTCCAGTGCTGGCATCAGATAGTTAGCCTATTGATGTAGTAATATCTAATTATCAAACAAATTGAATTTACTCATGGTCTTTCAGTCAAAGCTACGAAACCTTAACTAATTCTCTTTAGATTGCTATTTTATGTTTATAAGGAAGTGATCCGTAGTTTTGTAGATGGTTTTTCTATATCACCTATGGATCTCTCCGGCACATATGAAGCTCGACTTGCTCACCTATGGATCTCTCCAGCACATATGAAACTCGACTAGAATTTTGGACTTGCTATTCCTTTATTTTGAGCCCAATCACAATAACTGTTTTAATAAAGGTTTCTTTCGGAGGTAAAATTTCGTAAAACCTCTGTATTTTGAGTCTGTTTAGTGACATTTCCTTCGTACGCATTGCATTTTTGGACACACTAGAACGGAAAGAATATCTTGTCGAAGACTGCATAAAAATGCAAAACAAAAATAAGTATCCATAGAGGCAAGTTTATCTTTCAATGTTCTCATAAATAGCTTTGAAATTTACACGAGTGTTAAAAAAAGTTGAAAACTTACCCTGTAATTGACCTATTTTCTCTTTCACATAGTGCACATTTGGATCAGCGGAAATTTACTCTTATATTTTTTTATCTGTTTTACAAACGAGCTTTTGTAGTGGGAAATTACTCCAACCAAAAGAACAAACTGCTCACCCCGCCTTTAGTTTTAACTTAAATACACAAAGTGAAAAAGTATGTGAACTTTACTTGAGCTATTTATTTACGGAAAATCCTAAAACTTAAAATGCAAGTACGATTCCTTTAAAGCACCATTTGATGCAGAATAAAATATCCTTTTATCACAATGTATCCATTGTATCATTGTAAAACGAAATTACTTATTTCGTATTTTTGTTGTTGTTTTTTTACACCAACTTCATCATGTAAATATATATATATATATTAAGTTTATGTTATGAACATGATAGCGATATAAAAGGGTAGGTCACAGGTATTATTCAGGTATAACAGCAGGTGTCTCAATACACGTATTAAATCAATTTTAATATTTATTCAAATGAAATGGATCATTTCTGCCAGCCTATTCTCTATAACACAAGTTTATTGCATAAATCTAACGATGCAAAAGTTTACTGCAAAGCAAACCATGGCTTATAAAATTGGTCCTATATCTATATGGGAGCAAACTTTATAGCAACTCCATTTATGTTTTTTTACATGATGGGGTCATTTCTTTACCGTTGCAAAGCTTTTCGCTCAAATTGGGCTAAAAAAAACGGCACAGAAATCAATATTCAATTAAATTTTTAGTTTATTTATTATCCTTTGCTGAGTTTACCAATAAAGTGCTTCGCATCATCTATTAGAATTTCAAACTTTATGTTTTAGGATCTTCGACCGCAGTGAAGCTTCTTTAACATTTCTGTTCACCTCTGAGACATCAAAACAAACATTAAATACTAAAGTTAAAAAAAGTACTGACTTGAATAAATACTTACTATTCAAGGTACCAATAAACAAAATATAACAAATTTTAATTTGTCTAGAAAGGTAAGTGTGTAGCTACAAATAAAAAAAAAATGAGAAAAAATTAAACCACAGGAGATTGACATTCTATCAAGAATTGAAAAATATAAGCAAATAATTAAAATACCCCTCTATACTATAAATAAACACAAGGATTGCAACGCCTTTTTGCACATTCGATACACATTTTATCTAATTTCACACGTGGAAAATCAATGTCAACAAACAAGTTTAGCAATTTCGATACACAATACAAAATTATACCTTTTACAACCGCTGATATTCTAAATCAAAGCATTGCATAAAAATAAATTGGCAATATTTATTCAAATGTCAACAAATAATTTTGTCATGGATTGCCAGTGTGAATTGAGTGTGCAAAAGTCGTTGCATTCCTTGTGTTTATTTATATTAGAGGGGTATATTTGCCGTGATATTTTAATTATCAGTCCTACACATTAACCCTTCCAGCCTGCTGAATCTCTTATCAGCTAGTAAACAAGTTAAATGTTGATGCTGCACATCAAAGACGCCGCCAAATTATGTGAACAGTCACAGGTAATGCACAAAATCAGCCTTGAAAATCGTTCTCTATTACATTTGAATATCCGAAGCACTAGTCAATTTTATCTCCATGTTCTTGGTATGTGCTCGTTGTTTAATAATAACGTTGCATATTTTTGTGAAAAAGTAGAACCTAATGCATAAATTTCCAAGAAATGTTTGTCTGAACATTGCGACAAATATTGACAGGTTTTGTCGAAGCAAAATAAATTGGATAACAAGTAAAATTGAAATGACGATTGGTAGATCTATACTTAAAATAAATTCAAGACAAAGACAGAGGTAAAAATATCTTCGTTGCCCCGAGAATATGTCCATTTAAATATTTGTGCGAATTGCATTATGTTCGAATGATTTGAGGCCGAACTGTTCTGTTATTTTACAAATAGCCAAAATATGTCTGTAATATCAAATGATAGTTATGAATAAATTGTTAAATATAATCAATTCTTAGTTACGTATTCTTTTCTTATTTCTTATGTCTAAAAGACACAATATTGCATATATTTGCCTCACGGGTCTGTGAGCTAAGTGTACTTTAGAGAACCGCCTCTCTGATAGTAGGCGTGGTTTAGGCTTTATGATTCGTCCTAATGTTGCAGGGAAGTGATATTGATCATATTGTCCTGGTTCCCTTCCCTCCGTCAACGAAGACTCAATGCTAGCATACAGAGTAAGTATAATATTAAATTTGGTGTCAATTTAAGGCGCAGCCGTACTTCAATAGAGGCGGAGCAAATGAAGTGAGTGACACTGCCTCAGTCGTTACCTCTCTCAACTACGGTCGAGTATAGACTGGATCATTGGCGCGTTATATATTAGGTAAATAAAAGTAGATATTGATAAAAAGAATATGACATTCAGACATGACACTATCACTTCAGTTAAACTTTAATTTTAATTCCTTATAGCTCAGTGTCATATTGTATATCAGGAAAGCTATTTTTATTAGAAAATTTTAAAACGGTGTGATTTTGTTAAAACATAAAAAAATACACAAAATCAAGTCTAAAATTTTCCCCATTGCTGTATAGACGAACGCATATCTACTAGACGCCGGTGTCTAATCACTATTAACTGTATATCGTCCATTAACACGTCCACTGAGTTGAGAGTTTTGTCATCACTTATAATTATTGGTCCTCTGTATTCATATCTAATGGC